ATACGTTCACTTTAACTACACTGCCGGAAGGTAAATCCATAGTGGGGGGGGGGGGGGCAGATGGGTTTATGTTATGAAAGAAAATGCAGATTTAACAGAGACATATAAGACCAGACATGTAGCGAAAGGATATAGTCAAGTAGCAGGAGTAGATTACAAAGAAACATTTTCTCCAACAGCCGATATGACTTCTGTACGCACATTAATGCAGCTTGCAGCACAGAATGATGTAGTGGGATGAGTCACCTGCCACCGAGTAATTGGACGACCTATCATTGAGGGAAGGCGCTCATATAAATAGGGCCTGAGGTGGCGCTACAGCGATCTTTTACTTTGGCTTAACTTCCGCTTCCTGTGTGAAGAGCCGTTGTGTACGGGACTCCGGCGTGTCGGACTGAATTGTTGTATGTGGTCCTCCCAGAGTAACGGAAGGCTTCTTTTATCCTATGTGCTTCAAAGAAGTGATCCAGGAAGGGGTGTGTCTCCACGGGAGACTCTGTTGTTCTGCTGCTTTTCTGCACAGTTTCATGGGATCTCTGTTTACCGGTTGTTGACCCGGTGCTGGACCATCATCCGGTTCCAAGACCTCTCCACCCCTCTGCTCGGACTGGTTGACGGGATCAGCGGAGACCATCGGGAGCGGCTTTGTCACTCGCTCCTCTGTACCGTATACCAGCGGAGGGCGTACACCCGCTGTGGGGTTGGGTATTCTAACGAGGGGCTGCGGGCCCTACCGGCAGTTGTCGTCTGCCCGGGAGCTCATAAGGACGGCTGAGGCGCAGGCTAATAGACTCGTGTGCAGGCGAGCTGTATGCTCGCTCATTCCCTGACGGCCTGCCTGCTCAGTCGTGGCTGTGTGTGTGTGTGTGTGTGTGTGTGTATGTGTGGATTTGGATTTTTACTGTTTTCTGTTTTCTTTTCATTTAGGCTGTGAGCTAACAGTGGTGGTCGAGCCCTGGTGGTGGTCCTTTTGACGGTGTGCGTGTGCTCCAGAGTCACTTCACCCCCCGAATGCATGCATGTGTGATTGGGGTGAAATTACTTGTGGTTGGTATTTAGTTCTGGGCTCTCTTAGGCAGTCCCATTAATCAGCCTCAGCCTAAGTTGATGTGGTTTTAAGCAGTGTTGATCTGCAGGTGCATGGTGTTTTTAGATTATTTTAAACTCATTTTATTCTTTGAATAAAATCTGTTTGTGTGGAATGGAACTCCGTCTCAAGCTTGATTTGTAAAAATGAACTAATGTGCCTTAGTTTCAGTCATTTTGGTTCCTGATAATCAGGTGGCGTTGTTTCTAAATTGATAAGTGGCCCTGCTCGCCACAATGACTTAGAGTTGCATCAGATGGATGTAAAAACAGCGTATCTGAACGCTCCCATTGACCGTGAAATGTACATTGAACAGCCTGAAGGCTTTGAAATCAAGTCGGACACGGGTAAAAAGTTTGTGTGTCGGCTGAACAAATCCTTATATGGTCTAAAGCAGGCCGGTAGGAACGGGAATAAAATGCTGCATGATGGTCTTCGCAAAAGTGGTTTTATACAGAATGACGCAGATCATTGTGTTCACAGTAAACAAACAGAATATGGAAAAACTCATCTGTTAATCTGGGCTGATGATCTCCTCGTTGCATCAAAGGATTCAAAGTCACTTGAAGAAAAAGAAATGTTACCAAAATTGTTTAAGATGAAAGATCTTGGTAAACTAAAAACTTTCTTGGGTGTTGATTTTACACAGAAAGGAGATAAAGATGAACCAAAAGAGATTCATAAAAAATATTCTGGAAAGATTTGGTAAGTCTGACTGTAAAGCAAGATCTCCTCCGTGTGAACAAAAGATGCATTTTGATAATGAAGGTGAATTTGTTGATGCAAGAAGGTATCGTCAAATGGTTGGCAGTTTGATCTACGTAATGACCTGTACGAGGCCTGACATATGTTGGATTGTTAGTACTTTCCCAGTATCTGTCCAAACCAAAAGAGCAACACTTGACAGCTGCAAAACGTGTGATAAGATACCTAAAAGGGACAATAAATCAAGAGCTGTGTTATACAAAAAGTGAAGGAAAGCTTGAACCTGTAGCTTATAGTGATGCAGATTGGGCTTCAGATATGTTACGATGGGTCGCTTACATCTTACTTATGAACCATAAAATGTGAGATTCCATAGAAATATGAAACATCAATCTGATGGATCTTCGATTATTTTAACCAGAAGATCGGAACTTTTTATTGTAGGGATTAAGCGACGCTTCGTATTAACTCCGCGGAAAGAGAGAGAGTCAGGTTAAAAATAGTTAAGAAATGTATTTCTACACAATTTAAACAAGACTAACTTTAACACTCTGTGTACTGATGGACTAAGGTGGAGTGAGACGTGATGAATGATGATGGTGTGTGTGTGGAATGTTGTTATCAGAACCTCGTATCCGGAGAAGCGGTTAGTTCTGAGTGGGAGTGAACGTTTCGCTCTAAACTTTAGTCGGAGATTTATAACACACATGAAATGCCATCTGTCGGTCTACGTACCCCAGGGGAAGCCTCCGTCAGAACCAGAATGCCGAGGTCCTCTTGGACCCTTCTTGGAACCGAAGCTGGTAGAAAAGCAGCGGTGCCGACCAAACTAGTCTGGGAATGTTTCCAGGTAACAACAGGTTATCACTGGCGTCTCCGAGACCCTGAAGGGGTCGTGAGGTTCAGCTTTTATTCTGAAGGAACCGTTGCGGTCAGGTGTAACTGCAACAGATTTTATCCAGCTTGTCGAGGTTCTTTATGGCTGAAGAGGAAGTCCGGATGGCCGGTCCGAACTTCTCTAGAACGCTTGAACTAAAGAAAAGGTGACGTGGGAGAGTTTTTATAATTGTCATATTTTGGTTTACTGGCGAATCAGAACTTGACATGCAGAAGAGGGTTTATACAAACTCCACAGAAAACCACGCCCAGCCAGAAACGAAGGTTCTGATTGGATCAGACAAAGGAAATGTGTCATGTGACATTAGCATTACGTGTCATCACGTGTCTAGTGCAGCTGTCCAAGATTATAATAACTTGTGAAATCTACTGATCACAGGATTATAATATCAAGTAATAACATTGTCATTTCACAGACTGGATGAACATTGGGCTCACATTATTATTGGTAATAACAAACGTTGTTTGATTGTGTGTTCATCAAAAGAGTTCTCCGTCTTGTCTTGAGCTGTAAAGAGGTGAAGCAGTTCAGGTGAGCAGAGGCATGAAGGGCCTTGGCCAATATCTCATGTAGATTAGCCTGTGTCAGAGACATTTTGTCTCCACTCGAGCAGACGCAGCAGATCATGACTCTTAGGTCAAAAACAGGAGATTTCATGACGCTACAACACCGACAGACGCAGCACTACAGGCTACTGTTTTAGCTTAAAAAAAGGCTCTATTATCTCCTGGAAAACCAACGGCAAAGTGTTGCGTTATCCACGTGTGACGCAGAATATACAGCTCTAGATGCCACAGTACAGGAGAGTTTATATCTTTTGCAACTGATGAAAGGGTTGACTGATGAGTGTTATGTGACTGTAAAAATCTTTGGAGATAATCACGGTGCTATTGCTTTGTCTAAGAATCCAGTCTGTCGACAGAGAAGTAAACACATAGACATAAAGTATCACTTTATTAGATCTATGCTGAACGATGGAAAGATAACCATTGAGTATTGTCCAACAACAGACATGGTTGCAGATGTTTTAACAAAGTCTGTAACAAAGGTCAAGATGGATAGATTCAATAAAATGTTTGTTTGGAATGTAAATTTATTTTGTCATAATGTCACGCCTTCATTTGCAGCCTTGGTCTTTCTGGGATGATTATGTGCGTTCCTGCTTTCAAAACGTTCAAAACAAGGACACTTGGACTTTAAAGTAGTTGTGATTAAGCGTACACAACCAGCCCTTCAAGGGAAGGCTGCAGGACAATGGTGTTTCTGTTTCTCGGCCACAGAAGCCCCGTGTCCTGTGCTGAAGGAGCCTTTGATGTCTGTCCACACAAACCAAGGAAGGGAAATGAATCCAATAGTTTACTTTTACATTACTTAACCTGAAACAGTAATCTTAAAAACAACTATTTAAAATTAAATATATACAGTATGTAATAACTACAGCACCTTTACATTAGGCTAGTTAACCCTGATACCATGTGACTGTTTACATGTATATTATGTTTACTTACTCTATTCAAAATATGCTGATTTTAAAAGCATCAATGTCAGTTTATTGGTATCAGCAAATATTGGTTATCTGTGTAATTAATATTGGATATCGGTATTAGCTCAAACATTTCATATCAGTGCATCACTACTAAATATTTATAATTAAATCTGAATATATAAAATTGTACCCAAATGTAGAAGTGGCAGTCTTAAACGAAACGTTCCGCTTATTTCAGAACATCAAAAATGGGAGAAGTACATAAAAAATAGAGTGAAAAAAAACTCTTTGGAAATTTTGATTTCAGTTTAAATTTTTAGATGACGTATTAGTTAAACATTTAAATCAAACTTTATAGAAATCCACTTGAATTTAAATACTAATTTTATTGTTGTCACTTGGATTCATGTTTAACTTGTAATGTCCTTCGAATGTGTTGAATTGGTGGTTTTAGATGTTCTTGAGGATAAAACGCGGGTGCCATTTTGTTTCTGTATAACTTTACAATCGGCGCCACACATAGCGCTCCACTGACCTGCAATGATACCCTTGACCCATATTTGCCGACTCATTGTTTCACGTTACACAAGACGAGCGGCGCGTTACGTGCTTACGTAACGCGTGGTCCACTGACGCAGCCTACATAACCCAGTTACCCAACACATGCCCGGGGACGGCCCTCGGATGCCCCGGTCTCTCGTGCTTGTCTCTCCTTGACACACTTACCGGGCTACCGGGACTGTTTCATAACCACAGAAGCCCCAGACTGCCAGCTGTGCCACACAAACGGCTCTTGAACAGACATATTTAAAAGTTGGTCCTACCTATCTGAATGGCTTGGTTGTATTTGTCCAGCGCAGCCTCCATCCTCCTCTCGGCGTACAGCCCGTTGCCCTCTCGCCTCAGCCGGCCGGCATGGTGCCAGGCGGGGAACCACTTGGCCAGCAGGTTGCTGAGCACCACGTTGACCCGGTAACTCTGCACGTCATCCACCGTGGAGCTGCCCCTGCACTCCTTACACATCACCGGCCGCTCCTTCTCCTTCCTCTCCCTCTCCAGGCATCTCTTACAGAAGCTGTGCCCGCAGGGCAGAGTCACGGGCTCCAGCAGGAAGCTCAGACATATCCCGCAGGAGAAGTCCTCGAACCCGCTGCCTGTAGCACCTGCCGCCGGGCTCCCGCCCCGCTCCTCTCCCTTCCTCCTCCAGCGGCTGCTCTGACTCTCGCCCCGGTCACGTCTCCGGATGCTGTCCGACAGGTACTCTATGAGGTTGGACAGGTGAACTGGTCTAAGTTGCTCTATCTCCGAGGCTCGTCGGTACACCTCTAAAGCTTCGGTGATCCTGCCCCCGAACGCGAGCGCGTCCGCCCGCTTCGCCATCAGCTCCAGCCGGCTCCCCGAGTCCCCCACACCCGCCAGCTGGCACTCGTAAATATCCGCCGCCAGGTCGAAGTTTTTCGACTGGAAAGCTTCAGCTGCGAGATGCAGCAAGCTCTTACACTCGGTCCTCATTCAGAGCACGACACCGGGAGTCTACGTCCTCATCTGTGCGGAGCTGGGCTGATGACCACCTGCTCCTGCTGCTGGCACTCACGTCCGGTCTCCGGTACCCTGCAGTCTGTTTTGTTTCCTCCCGGTCAGCTGCAGGAAGTCCCGGCATCAATGAACCGATAAGAGAGAGAGGAAAAAAAAAGTTATGTAAACGTAGTCATGTGACCCAAACTAGCTGTTCCTATTGGACAAAAACTGTTACAAAACAATCTCACATGTAATAGTTTTCTGTGGGGGTGGGGTGCTGGAGGCTGTCTGACCCGCATGAATGACCTCACGCATGGTCAGAGGTGTGTGTGTGTGTGTGTGTGTGTGTGTGTGTGTGTGTGTGTGCGTGCGTGTGTGTGTGTGTGTGTGTGTGTGTGTGTGTGTGTGTGTGTTTGTGTGTGTGTGTGTGTGTGTGTGTGTGTGTGTGTGTGTGTGTGTGTGTGTGTGTGTGTGTGTGTACCGTTTCATTGATTAAACAATCACATAACTTTTATCCAACAGACACAACATAACTTCCATCCAGAAGTTATAGAACACTATTAGATCAAATTAAGGAGAATCAAATCTATCTAAAATATAATAAACTTTGTTTTTCTACAGTAAATAATAAGGAAGTGTATTGGTGAAATTATGGCGATACGATACGTATTGATACAGGGGAGACGATACAGTGTATCACGATGTATTGCGATGCATTCAGTCAGACGATATTAGCGATTTTTAGACTGAATTTATTATAGGAAATTTCAATAAACAGTCCAAACTGATACTTAACGTGTTTAACATGAGGTATCTGAACCATGACAGAGTGATTTACATTTCAATAGGGAGCCTAAGTCTACTTCCGCACAATGGGTCCCAGAAAGAACAAAAATATGAATGCAAGTCAACGGGGCTAAAAACGCTATTTTCTAATGCGCTTTGCCTTACGCCCTGATCACACATATGTACTGCAGTTTAAATGAAAAGTAATGATGGGTGTTTCGACCACGCCAGTCACGTACTTTGGAATTTATTAGCTTGTAAAAGGTCGTAATTAGCATGACTACAAACAAGAAGTAGGCGGACGTGTAGATCCTCTGAGAGAAAGTGGAAAAAAGATGGCCTATAGGTCTCGCAAGTTGTTCAGAGCATCACTGGTTACTTATCAGGATGCTGTGAGGGTCGCTGGAACGGCTTATTTTGCAGACATCATTGAAACAAACTCTAAGAATCCCAAGATTCTCTACAAAACACTGAACTCTGTGCTGGTGTATCAGGAGCCCAGCTTCATGCCCTCTACAGCTGCTGGAAAAGGTGAAGATTTTCACAAATTTTTTGTTCACAAAGTATTTGGCATTAGAGCAGCTATTTCTGGTAACTCTATTGACCCTGTTCCAGTTCCTCCATCACCACCCACCCTGAGCTCCCTCAATACCGTTTCCTATTCTGAACAGAGTAAGCTTGTTGCAAGGCAGAAGCCCTCTGGCTCTCCACTTGATGTTCTGCTGCCTCGTCTCTGAAAGGCTGCCTTTCCGTGTGTGGCAGTGTGAGTGTCCTGTCACAGTGTCTTGATTGATCATGCGCCCTGGCTACTTGGCCAAGGGGATGTCCCTTTGGCTGACTGGTTAGCGCGCATGACTCTCACCTGGGGGTCTGGGGATCGAATCCCGCCTGGGCCCTCATTTCTACACCTTGCCACACGTGTCTTGGCCCATCACTTGGTCAGATTATCAACGGGAGCCTCAGCACAGGTGTGGTCCCAGCTGCTTTGGAAGCAGCAGTTGTTCGGCCGACCCTGAAGAAACCTGCTGCTGATGTCTCTGTGATTTAAAATTACAGGCCTATGTCTACCCTGCCTTTTACATCGAAACTGCTTGAGAAAGTTGTTTGTCAGCAGCTGGTCTCACATTTAGCTGGTTCTGTTTGAGGTTATCCAATCAGGGTTCAGGTCTGGCCATAGCACAGAGTCGGCTCTACTGAGGGTCTTAAATGACATCTATCTATCACTTGATCAGGGTACATCTGTGGTGCTTCTGCTGTTAGATCTGATGGCAGCTTTTGATACGGTTGACCATACGATGTTGCTAGATCGCTTGGAACGATGGGTTGGGATTAGGGTTGTCACGGTAACCGGTGTAGCGGTACACCCCGGTAAAAAAAAGTTGACAATAATAATAACCGTCTTGTTTAAAAAACCTATATTATCTCGGTGGATTACCGTGGCTGCGGTGTACGCGCGGTGACCCTTACCAGCCACCGTATCATCTGCTGAAGTTGCCAGCGGCACATGCGCACTTTGTTGTTTACAACCTAAACTTTCTTGAAGCTAAAGCTGAAATAATGGCCAAAGGAGGAGACGGCAGCGCTCAGGACATTTTTTATCCCTCAAAGAAGACAAAGTGGGAAGTACGGGCATCTTTTGGATATCTGAAGAATGCCGAGGGACAGTTGATAGAAGACGGCTATCCTGTTTGCAGCACGAGCAGAAAAAGTGTCTGAAAGGCAGCAACGCTTCAAATCTCATGACACATCTGCGTGACCATCACCCACAACTCTACAGTCAACGCAAGGCAAGCTAACGTTAGCGTTTTAGCTAAAATGCGTGATCCGAGGATTTGGGTTGAGGGAGAATGCAACGAGTCGCTATATAAAGCAGCCGCAGCGCCGCTACCTGCATATAAACCGTGTCGCGGACACCGCCATGTTGAAATGACGCTATGCATTACGGGGCTCCCAGGGGCAGATAAGAGTTGGTCTCTCTCCGAGAATAATTATGAATTTAACAACGATTACTGCCTGATGACATTTTCCCACATCTGCAAAGCTCACTGGAAGGACACAAACCGAGGACGATATTTTCCTGATATAGGGTTTATTACTCAAGTAAGGGTAAAAAAGTATCTGATTAGAAGGCTACTTGAGTACTGAGTATCATCTGATCTAATATTTTTAAAATGATGACATCAAACAGACATAAAATAAGAAGTTATGGGCAAATATTGGTGTTTTAAAGACTAAAGGGAAAAAATGTAAACAAATAAACAACATAGTTACAAAATAACACATTTTAGGCAAAATTTAGACACAAACTGAGGACAATATTTCCTGACATACAGGGTTTATTTAATTGTGTGAAAATGTAGCACGTTTAAAAAAAATACCACAATAATACCAAAAACCGAGGTAACTTTGGTCACAATTACCGTGAGGTTAAATTTTCACACCGTGACAACCCTAGTTGGGATCAAAGGGTCTGCTCTGGATTGGTTTAGATCAGGGGTGCCCAATCCTGGTCCTCGAGGGCCAGTATCCAGCATGTTTTAGTTTTAATTCTGCTTCAACACACCTGACTTCAATCAGCAGGTGATTAACATGCCTCTACAGAGCCCGATGAGCTGCAGGTGATTCAGCCAGTTAATCAAGTGTGTTGAAGCAGAAAAACCACAAAACCTGCTGGATACCGCCCTCCAGGACCAGGATTGGGCACCCCTGGTTTAGATCACATCTCCACAACAGGACATTCTGTATTAAACTGGGTGATGTATTTTCTTCTTGGGATGGGCTTCGCTGGGGGGTCCCGCAGGGATCGATCCTTGGTCCTCTTTTGTTTGCCATTTATCTGGTTCCTCTGGGATCAATCTTTCTTAAACATGGCCTAGCGTTCCATATTTTTGCTGACGATTGCCAGATTTACTCTCCATTGTGTCAAGACATACGTCTCTCCATCCAGTCCTTTGTGTCCTGTCTCAATGAGGTGAAGTCTTGGCTAATGGCCATCTATCTGCATCTAAATGAGGGAAAGAAAGAGCTCATTGTTTTTCACCCCAACAGCAGGGCTGTGGTAGCCTGGCAAGCCAGACTAAATAAATGTATTATTTAGTCTGGCAAAGCTCCAATGACGGTTCTACCATTGTCTTTCAAATGATCTCCGCATGCTACTGGACAATGAATGTGACATAGGCCGTGTTCGAGATGAACTGTGCCTCGCCTGGAAAACAGACGAGAGCAGACGGAAGCAGCAGGGGGAGTGGCTAAAAGCCGGCGTTTAAGTCGGACAGATTTCCCTACATGTGTAGCTCGGGGGGGACGATGGCTGAAGATATCGCGTTAGCGTTCACACTTGTTTAATCTTCAGTTTTAATTCTGGTGCCTTTTAGCAGCTGAAACACATCCTCACATGCTTGTGGATATCATATATTGTATATGGAGACATGACTGTAATAATAAGTAAAGGTTAGCAGCTGTAGCTTCAGTGTGCTCATAGGAAACGTGACAAAAGAACACAAAACACATTTCTCTTTATGGCCTATATAGTCATCATCAACATATCATGATTTACAGAATACATGTGACCAACTAACATTTCATGTTCTACCACCGGATGTTTGGATCAAAATATGAACCAATCAGATCTTAGATCAGGTGAGAGCCAGGCGTTTCCCGTCATCCCCTAGGTTTTGCAGCCGGTGGAGAGCAACTGCAGCGCCTTGCTCCAAAATCTGCGGCCGCCTTGATCTCGCAAGGTTATCGTTGCCTACGTATGCATGACGTCAGAGCAAGTCGGCGTCAAGTTGGACACAAAGCTAACCGGCATGCACTGCTCAACGATCACCGCTGGTCTAATCTGCTCAGAACTGGCTCATCTCGAACACAGCCATACTCTTGTTTCACTGATTGATTGATTGACTCAAGCGTTTCCCCGTCTGTGTTCTGTGGGCGGCTAATGTAGGACATAGAGGTAGCCTGCATGTGAAACTCAGAGTGACCATCACATGTCAAAAATAAATGAACTATTTCTCAGTAAACTTGGCCTTTACATAAGATGCTCTAAAGTGCTAAAAATAATGACCACACGTGTCTACAGCACTAGTAGATGTTCGATCATGCAGTTTATTAGAAAAAAAAAACGTTGATTTGGGGGTGACTTGTGTTTTAAGTTGGCAGTGAGCAGAAGAACAAGACTGAAATGGGTCGTGGTTCAGAAGGGAAATAAATAGATAGAAACTTTAACACAGACACAAAGTCCAATAAAACAAACACACAATTTAAAAAAAGCAATAGTACATACAAATAATAAAAATTGGTTGTCATAAAATACACAATAAAAAAGAATACACCACCACAAAATACAAGAGTACCAGTGCTGCCTTATTTGGGACTGACACCGGACATCACTGAGCCTTACATTAGATAAGTTCATCACATTGTCAGATCTACCCAGTCGACCAATAAATGTGTACATAGAGTTCCTTAGGACTGCTGGTAAACAATAAACTCGAGCATTTACAAACATTTCACTTGCACTGCACCATCTTGGCAGCTTAAGCAGAGTTCTCATAGCATCATTGTAGGCAGTCTGACCCTTCCTCATTTTTGCTTTCGTATAACGGGACCACAAGTGAGCTGTACATAAAGGAGTACAGAACACTCGAAACAAGAACATTTTTACATCATTAGAACATGTGCCAAACCTGCGCACAAGAGTGTTAGCCTGAGCATACAACCTGCGACGTTCTCTCAACATGTCATCATCATCAGACATGACCTCAGTCAGGATATGACCCAAATATTTCACCTCACTGACCTCTTCCAAAACATTCCCTGCTAATAGAAAAGCAGGGAAGGTCATTTTGAGGTCATCTCTAGTGCGGCATATCATCACTACACTTTTGGCAGTGTTATGCTTAATGTCATAATCGTCCCCATACCCAGAACATGCACTTAGCATCTCCTGCAACCCAGCACTGCTAGGACTGAAGACAACAAGGTCATCTGCATAAAAGAGATGATTCACACAGACACTGCCGATCACGCACCCTGTATTGCACCCTGACAACTGTCTTGAGCGATCATCCAAATATAAGTTAAAGGGTACTGGCAACAAGACCACCTTGGCCAAAATGACACCTGCTCCCCCTCAGTAAGAGCAGTTGCCGGAGGTGGTTCAGGCATTTGGTCAGGATGTTTCCTGGCTTCAAGCATGTCCTCCCCACAGGAGCTCCCAGGGTCGACCCAGGACACGCTGGCTAGCCACGGAACGCATTGGGATCCCACCGGTGGAGCTGGTGGAGGTAGCTGGGAAAAGGACGGTTTGGCCCTCTCTGCACGAGCTGCTATGCTTGTGATTCAGAATCGAATAAGTCTCTTTGTGCTGTTGTGGTTCAATAAACCTAAACTAAACTAAACCAAACTAAACTAAACTAAACCAAGGACGTCTACACTTTGTTCAGACATTATTCCTCCAACTTTGGATGTTTGTTTTATGTAACAATCCTTTTTTGTCCTTTTTTTATTTGTCATGAATTGCACTTGAAGTGCACACAGTGCTGCAGGCTGAGAATAACGTTGGATCTGATGCTGCTTTACATAATTTGTCATTTGCTCCACTCTTGAAAAGAATCGTTGGAAATCGGTTGTTTTCTCTGGAGTCTTCTGTCCACTCACAGTTCACAGCTGAGAGGTTACAAAGTTCACGATGGTTGAATGTGGTCAATCCTGGCGCAGATGAGACGTCTGGAGACAAAACAGAGGCCCGCCTCCTGCCAAATCGCCCTCCTGAGTGTCAGATAGTGATATAATGATCCAAATCACAACAGAACTGTGAGTTTTATAACAGCAGAGCAGGAGTCTGAAGTGCAGCTGCTGTTGCATAAAAGTGTTTGCATAGTTGCAAACATCCTGATAAATATCTCCTTACCTAACCAGCAGAGAGCCATCCTGCATCATCACCAGTTTCTCTTATGATCAGCTAGATACACGTCTAAGGTGACAGGGTTAAACTCCTTCTGGTCATGTTAACAAACAGCTGATCACTGAGGTTCTGCTTGTCGCCGGCTGATTTCACATCAGCGTTCACGCCTTTGATTTTATGTAAATGGGAATTGTGTTGAAACAGCTCACCATGAGGGCTGAAAGTAGGTTAAAGCCAGAGTGTAACAACAGCGGCGAAGGGATTGTCCTCCAAACGGGGCTCATTCTAGCCTCGAAGGTATTATTAGCCTCTTCTGCAGCCTCCAGATAAAACCTGTTAGCTGGGGGGGTTTGGAGTGTGGATTATACGCCAACCAGCGTGGATCTCAACAGTCGCTGGTAATATAGGTCGGGCGGTCTAGGCTCTGAACTCAATCCTGTGGCAGACACAGACAGACTGACACACATGTGGAAACAGACATTCTGACATATATGCAAATGAGGACACTCGCTAAGAGTTATGCAAGTAACACCGCGCGTGTGTGTGTGTGTGTGTGTGAGAGAGTGTGTGTGGAGGGGGAGTTGCAGTCTGGACAGCCTGCCTTTTCATAGACTCTCTGGATGTTGGACACCAGGTTGGGAGCTAAAGTCAGACTCTTACATAAAGTCTTAAAGGGTGCGGCACCTGAACACTAACCGTTATTTGGTGCAGAAGGGTTGGACACAGACGGGCCAGAGCATCCAGTAGAAAGACAAAAGTGCAGGTTGTTCTCATCTCGTTGTTTTGCAGGTCAGGAGAGCGCCGCTGCAGGCAGGACGACATGTTCCAGAAGAGGAGCTGTGCAGTAATCTTCAGGGTGGTTCAGTAGGTGGTGAGGGGAAGGTGTGGGGAGGAGCGTGGACCATGTGTTTGCCATGATGTTGAGGATGAGGAGGAAACATTTTCTATCCTCTGTCCTAAACTGGTTTGCAGTAACCACTATCAACAGCCCAGTAGGCCATCAAACATCAAACTGGTGTTTCATCAGTCACCATCAAACACTTTTGCAGATTTATGGAAGCATTTGAAGCTCAGCTGGAAGAACAAAGAGAGAGAATGATTTAAAAGTTTAAAACGTAACCCAGAGTTCTCTTTCCTCTGTTAGCGGGGCTGAGAAAGTTTCTTTCTTCACTAAAATCAGTTTTGTAAACATTCGATGATTAAAATGCATCTAGCTGCTGAGCTAAGCTGTTTATTCCTTATTGTATTATTTGTAATTTTGTTAAAATCAGTTCTTGGGTTACCTTATTGGGTTATTTATTAGGTTTATTTTTAGACTAATACTGTTTTGTCTTTATAAGTCAACCAGGAAGATGTGGGGCTTTTTCTGACAAGCAGCAATATGAAAGATTTCTACAGTGAAATAATCACAAAATAGTCTAACGTCTCAATCATGCTGGAAGGAAGGTTACATTGAAATAGATTTTATTCTCAGCAAGCTGGGGCTCGTCAGTTCTTCCCTCAAAACAAAATGTAGGAGCAATGTAGAGACGTCAGGATTCCAAAATGGCGACGCTCACCTCCCAAGTAGCCATTGTTTGTAGATTCCTCTTCATAACATACAATAGTTTCAAGTTCAACATGCAAACAAAACTTTTAGTAGCGTAGAGTTGCACTACATGCAACACTGGTTTTAAACGCACTCGTGTTTTGTAAAATAAACACATTTCACCCAAAAGTTACTGTTGTTGACACGGAGAGCTGCCATTTTGGATGTCAAGGTCGGAGTTCTGAAATTCTTCCAAGTTTCTGACTGGGAGGTCCGACTTTGGGGGGGCGTTTCATTAGAATTTTCCTACTCAGAAGTCAGAATTTCCGAGTTCCGAGGACAAATCGAACGCACCATAATATCGGGTGAGGCAGGCTAAAGGCTAATGTTGAGCTAACAACGCTACCGGTGAACTAAAAGCAAATAGACGGCTCTAAAAATAGCTGAAGCTACTTTTTCAATTACCAAAACTGGATGTTGCAGTGAAATGTGTGTGTGAAGTGAATAATGAGCCAATCGTGGCGTTTTACTTCTTTTAATGAGTCGTTCAGAACCATAACAGCAAGCTAACTGCAAGACGGCAAACAACCACTCTTCCTGTAATGCCGGAGGCCTAAATAAGTGTTGTAAATGCTCCCTACCGTGAAACACTTAGATTGGAGAATGTATTTTTCTACTTGTGAACTTACTGTGTGGCACGTGTTCACTTGTCATCTAGAATCTTTTGGTGCTGATCCGTAACTGGCAACAACCATGAAACTCACAGAACGGCAGTGGGAATGTAACCATTTGCTTAGAAAAGTGGCCTGCAGTAACCAAATTTGACCATAGGATGGCCTTCTTACTCCATTCTTACATATCGCATCTTTAAAGAAAGGCTTTGGTATTGGACCAGCATGCACTGGGGTGGGTTTTATACCAGAGCAGGAAACAACAGAGAAATTGGTCTTTTGCCAAATTGCATCAATTAAACATAAAAATTTAACTTTGTCTCTGTTCATTTGACTTGTCTTGCTTGATTATAAAACATCACCACAGCGTCTTATTGGCTTATTCAAACTTGGTTTGACATGGAAAAGCTAGAGGGGTGTTAAGGAGATGTTAAGTCAGAGAGGGACTGAGATGCACTGGACATGTTTAGAAGTGAGACAATGATAGGTAGAAGGATGCTGAGGGTGGAGCCACCATGCAGGAGTTGGGATGAAGATAGAAAATGCAGGAGATTAGACTAAAAGGAGACAGATGATTGGTTATGGAGAACCCTGAAAGGACAAGCTCACAATACTTTAAAATAATACCCAGAATGCAAGCTTGATTGCTGAAGTGGCTCATCTGTCGGCTCTGAACGGGCCCAGAGCTTCGAGTGAAAGGTTTTGGGCAGGTTCAGCTCTAAACCTTCGTGCTGAAGGGTCCAGATACGATCAGACTCATCGGTGGTGGTGAGCTTTATTAGTGAGTTTGTGAAGGTGCGTTAAAGCAGTTTACACAAAGTAAAGCTTTGCCTGTTCTAGTCATTCACTCAGGAACAAAAGGGTTTATTGGGACTCGGTATCTTGGCACAACATCATCATAAATCTCTCATTTAAACTGTTGATGAAAACAAACAAAAAGGCGGACATTGTGTGTGATATCGGCTGTAATACAGGAAGCCATCCATCAGAACTCCATAAACAAGTACAGCATGTTGGATGCCAACTCCTCCACATCAAGACCATGTATGGTCATCTTTACAGCAACGCATGTACAGAACTTCAGCAGAACTCAAGAAGGACCCGAAGTCCATCAGTCTTGGATCTTTAGGATGCTTCGCTTCTCCAGATCGTTCATCTCCTTAAGAATCAAAGCCACGTTGTAACGGAGCTCCTGGAACTTGGACACCTGAACCTGGAAAAGAAAACAACAACCATTCATCAAATGCACTGACGTGAGAACAGCTGGATGAGCCAAGACCCTCTCCTGCAGCTGTGGCTGAGGCAGATGTGGAGTCTGGTGCTCCCTGCTGACCGAGCAGTTTGCTTGCTTTTGTCCATCCATCCATTTTCAGCCGCTTATCCGGAGTCGGTTCATGGGGGCAGCAGCCTAAGGCGAGAGGCCCAGACTTCCCTCTCCCCAGCCACTTGGGCCAGCTCCTCCGGAGGAACCCCAAGGTGTTCCCTGGCCAGGTGAGAGACATAGTCCCTCCACCGTGTCCTGGGTCTTCCCTTGGGTCTCCTCCCGGTTGGACGTGGCCGGAAAACCTCACCAGGGAGGCGTCCTGACCAGATGCCCGAGCCACCTCAACTGGCTCCTCTGGATGCGGAGGAGCAGCAGGTCTACTCCGAGCCCCTCCCACATGACCGAGCTTCTCACCCTATCTCTAAGGGACAGCCCAGATACCCTGTGGAGAAAACTCATTTGTTTTGTAAATAAAGAAATTATTTTTTTTTTATTAATGCTCTAATTTACTTGACAAGCCACTACCTCTAAACACTCTAACTGCATTCTAATGGCAAGGAGACCACTGAAAACAAGCAATATTACAGTAAAACCATTTAATCTCAGTTATAGCATGACTTTATGTAAGGAGTTGATCTGATGAATATTAATAAACAATAATAAGAACCGGCTGAGGTGCTGCATCGGAGACGTCTGACCTGGCGGTAAGCTTAGGCTCTGCTACGCAAAAGTTCCTGCAGGTCTTCTCTGTGATCCTGTTACATAACAGGAGCTGACCTACATTAGCTCGGACTTAGACGGAACACGGACCTGCTGACACCAACACTAATGAAGAACGTGAGACAACTTTCTGAGAATTAAGACTAGAGCAAAGATACGAACTCAGATGAATGGATGACTAGACTCCGCGCTCCCTTTACTGGAAATGTGAGGATCAGGATCTCCAACCTGCAGAGCTTTGGTCTTTCTGTAGGGGGTTTTAATCCAATGCCACCACCTACAGGTTGAATAATGTATTGCATGTATTTTAGTTTCAAACAGGAACTAATCACTGATTAATTTACCTCGAAGCGGTGAAACGTCCCATCTGATAGTTTCATCTGGGTCAGAACAGATGGCTGCAGGGCTCTGGATAAAGAGCTGCGTGGACACAGAAACACACAGTATTCATAATTATCATTTATATGTTTGAGAAGCTGCGATGGACTGGCTCTCTGTCCAGGGTGGACCCCGCCTGATCGCCCATTGACCGCTGGAGATAGGCACCAGCCCCCGTGACCCTACGTGGACAAGCGGGTTCAGACAATGGATGGATGGATGATGGATGGATGGATGGATGGATGGATGGATGGATGGATGGATGGATGGATGGATGGATGATGGATGATGGATGGATGTTTGAGACGGTCCAGAAATGGTAAAGAACTGCATGTGCTTATTCCTTAGGTCACTTTATAGTCTCAGATTTACATTCAGTGTCTTGCCCAAGGACACTTCAACAGAATCGAACTACCATCTCTCAGAAGGGCAGACGAGTCTTCTGTTTGCACACTAAAGTGTCCTAAACAGATAAGATTAGGGCTGCACGATATCAAAAACTAATTCACGCTGCTATTTTATCTAACCCTGCAAAGTATATAAAAAACAGGACTTTTTAAGTTATACTCTGCTCAGGGTACCTGCAGGTTTAACCCTTACCCAACGTTTAAAATTTCTAACGTTAAAGTCATTAGAGCACAAAAAAATGCACTTAGAAAGCTTCCTTTAGAAATATTATATAATATTTCATAAGTCCCAATTTTTTTACATGAATTTCATCCTTGGCTTCAGCCCTAACAAAATATAATAAAATATGTGTGTGTTTCTCAGATTTAACCCCTTCATTGCCAGGTTTATTAGCAAAACCCGAAGTTTGAAAACTGTACAAAAAATGAAAAAATCAAATCATTTTTTGTGTGTTATGTCCAGATTACCTTTTTTGTGGGTAAGTTGTCACAGCCTTGGAGTGTCACAAATAGGCATAAAAATATTTTTTGCTCACTTTGTAGTTTTGTGTAATGTCACATTTTCTTAAATACTCACGTTAAAGTCATTAGAGCACAAAAAAATGCACTTAGAAAGCTTCCCATAGAAATATTATATAATATTTCATAAGTCCCAATTTTTTTACATGAATTTCATCCTTGGCTTCAGCCCTAACAAAATATAATAAAATATGTGTGTGTTTCTCAGATTTAACCCCTTCATTGCCAGGTTTATTAGCAAAACCCAAAGTTTGAAAACTGTACAAAAAATGAAAAAATCAAATCATTTTTTGTGTGTTATGTCCAGATTACCTTTTAGTTGGGTAAGTTGTCACAGCCTTGGAGTGTCACAAATAGGCATAAAAATATTTTTTGTTCACTTTGTAGTTTTTGTGTAATGTCACATTTTCTTAAATACTCACGTTAAAGTCATTAGAGCACAAAAAAATGCACTTAGAAAGCTTCCCATAGAAATATTATATAATATTTCATAAGTCCCAATTTTTTTACATGAATTTCATCCTTGGCTTCAGCCCTAACAAAATATAATAAAATATGTGTGTGTTTCTCAGATTTAACCCCTTTATTGCTAGGTTTATTAGCAAAACCCGAAGTTTGAAAACTGTACAAAAAATGAAAAAATCAAATCATTTTTTGTGTGTTATGTCCAGATGACCTTTTTTGTGGGTAAGTTGTCACAGCCTTGGAGTGTCACAAATAGGCATAAAAATATTTTTTGCTCACTTTGTAGTTTTTGTGTAATGTCATATTTTCTAAAATACTCACGTTAAAGTCATTAGAGCACAAAAAAATGCACTTAGAAAGCTTCCCATAGAAATATTATATAATATTTCATAAGTCCCAATTTTTTTACATGAATTTCATCCTTGGCTTCAGCCCTAACAAAATATAATAAAATATGTGTGTGTTTCTCAGATTTAACCCCTTCATTGCCAGGTTTATTAGCAAAACCCAAAGTTTGAAAACTGTACAAAAAATGAAAAAATCAAATCATTTTTTGTGTTATGTCCCGATTACCTTTTTTGTGGGTAAGTTGTCACAGCCTTGGAGTGTCACAAATAGGCATAAAAATATTTTTTGTTCACTTTGTAGTTTTTGTGTAATGTCACATTTTCTTAAATACTCACGTTAAAGTCATTAGAGCACAAAAAAATGCACTTAGAAAGCTTCCCATAGAAATATTATATAATATTTCATAAGTCCCAATTTTTTTACATGAATTTCATCCTTGGCTTCAGCCCTAACAAAATATAATAAAATATGTGTGTGTTTCTCAGATTTAACCCCTTTATTGCTAGGTTTATTAGCAAAACCCGAAGTTTGAAAACTGTACAAAAAATGAAAAAATCAAATCATTTTTTGTGTGTTATGTCCAGATGACCTTTTTTGTGGGTAAGTTGTCACAGCCTTGGAGTGTCACAAATAGGCATAAAAATATTTTTTGCTCACTTTGTAGTTTTTGTGTAATGTCATATTTTCTAAAATACTCACGTTAAAGTCATTAGAGCACAAAAAAATGCACTTACAAAGATGACCAGTTGAACACTTTATTAAAGCACACGAACAAAGAAAAAGTGTGTGTGTGTGCGTGTGTGTGTGTGTGTGTGTGTGTGTGTGTGTGTGTGTGTGTGTGTGTGTGTGTGTGTGTGTGTGTGAGAGAGAGAGAGAGAGAGAGAGAGAGAGAGAGAGAAACACAGAGGGGAGTGAGCTAACAGCTGCAGGCTGAGCACACAACTGTTGAGTGCTCCTTGCACACAGCCTGTCCACATGCATGGCAAAAGCGTGCATGCACGCTCCTCTTCCCTCTGCAAAGGTGGCATCTTTTCTTTGTCTGCTCCTGGGCTGGACCTGGCTCCACTTGCTGCTGCACCTCCAACAGAGCTGCAGCGCTGCTGGACCGCGGCAAGCGAGTGCGCCTCGCCTGGGCTGGTCTCACCATGGAGGTCCCAAGCTCCTGCAAGAACAGCCTTCGACGGATGCTCCTCTTCTGTTGGTTCCAGGCCGGTTCCACAGACAGCCACAGGACCAGGGCATTGTAGGCGCTCACATCTAACATGTTGCAGAAGAGCGACATGGGCCAACGTCTGGTCTTGCGGCGGCAGCTGTATGTTGCAACGAGCTGGAATAAAAATAAATGAATAAATAAATTACATATGCAATTAGGTTGGTGAATTATAATAAAACAAAATAAAATAAATAAATTACCTTGTCCAAGTTGTCAACTGCCCCTTTGCAGCGGTTGTAATCGATGATTACGATCGGCTTCTGCTGCGGTCCCTCCTGGATCTGAACCTGATGGTGTTTGGTGCCGAGGAGCAGAACGTTCCGCCGGCGCTTTGGAATGTAGCTCACCGCGGTGGCGGTGGAGGTGAAGCCGAACAGGGAGGACAGAACCGCTCTGCTTTTCATCTGGAGCAGCTGTGGGGGCAACTCTGGCTTGTTGCGCCTAACTGTTCCCACAAGACAGATTTTTTTTTTTTAGCAGCTCCTCTCCAAGAACCAGCGAGGTGAAAAAATTGTCCATGGTGACAGTGCGGCCGCTCAGACCCTCCGTGAGTTCCAGCACCACCCGCTTCCCTTGCCCCCTTTCTGCCGGGGCGTCTCGAGTCGTCTTGCCCAGATAGGGAATAATCCCCCAGGCATAAGAAGTGGCCACATCGCACACCACCCACAGCTTGATGCCATATTTTGCCGGTTTTGAGGGCATGTACTGCTTGAAGTTGCAGCGACCTCTGAATCCGACGAGCTGTTCATCAACGCAGACATCTTCACCGGGGTTGTAGGCGAGAGGGAGCCGGGCCGCCCAGAGGTCCCACACTTCCCGCAGGGGAGCGAGCTTGCCCTGCTGCACCAACCGGCGGGCTGCCCTGGTCAAGCGGTCATCAAAGCGCAATGTTGCAGTCAGCATGTGGAACCTTCCCAAACTCATCGTGGCTCTGAATATCGGCCTCCCCGTTTCCTCCCCCCAGAGGCTGGCAGATGATTCCCCACGGGAACGGTGCACACCAGCGAGGATGAGCAACCCAAACAATGCCCGGAGTTCCACGCGGTCAACGTCTGTCCAATCGTCATATTTTCTTCTTCCCTCTATATTGGTGTATTTTATTATTACATCTAGGATTGTTGTAGTTAAAAAAAATCGAAGCTGTCCTCAATAGTTTGGATGTAGCTGACAGCGAGGCGGGTGATCCCACAATGGCGGACATCTGGAGCCCGAAAGGGGATCCTGGTGTCGGGTGTCGGGGACCAGGCGATCCCGCTCTTTGATTGCCACAAAGGATGGTCCCATCTCTCCTCTGCAGCAACCACCTCCTCATCTGAACCTTCTTCCATTTCTTCCCCTGAATCAGGCCCTGGGGTAAAGGCCTGATCTTCAGCCTCTTCATCCGAACAAGAGCTGTCATCCGTGGATGAGGATGAGGCTGACTCTCCCTCTTCCTCAAGCTGCTGAAACACCTCCAGGGCTTCATTCACATTGAATCTTCTTCTCATGGTTGCGGTTCAAAGAAATGAATCCTGATCTGAGTCTCATATGTGTACTTTTAGTCAATTGGTGCACCTGTGTAAGCTGCCCCTACTGAATGTAAACAAAATTCGATTCTGCAGGAATTTGTTTTGAAAAACAAATGTATGCCTTTGAAGTTTTTCAGCCTTCATCTTAGCTTTCATCCATGCAAATGCTTTGTACTTATTGAAATAACATTTTGCAAAAGTAAAATTGTGAATGAGTATCTGAAATTTAGCAGAAAATCCTTTGATTTTTGATATATAGCATGCCTTTGATGAATATTCATGAAGTCAACAGAGTGTGAGAACCTGTGCCCCCCCCCCCTACACTCCCATGGCCCACACCTGCTCAACCACTCCAGATAATGATCACAGATCTGTCCTTTGAAGATCTGTAAAGTGCTTTGATACCTACATACACGCATGCCTGAACAATCACACACAAAGGAACACATGTCAAAATGCTATTTTGCAGAATAAGCTAATTTTGTACATTCAGTCAGGCTTATTTTTTGAAAGAACACTGAAAAAGCACAATTACCAAAAATTCAGAACACACACATGCAAACTATTGTATGGCATCTCTAAATAACACACAAACCATTTTTTTGCAAAATATGTATTATAATGGGCAGTCAGAGGTAAAGAAATACAGCTAAATCATTCAGTTTAAATGCTGGGTCAGCCATTGCCCTGCTATATATGGAGAAAGTATGCCATGTAGTGAAAAACAGTAAAAACTGCTTCTTACATTTGTGATGAGACTGTAAACACGGGCACAATCATAATTTTTTAAAATTATGCCAATATTTATGCTAATTAAAAATATATGATTTACATGAAAGTCAATGGCACAAAAAAATGCTTCAATGTGCTTAACTGTACAAAATGATTTCCACGTTTTAATAAAGTAGGTTGAATATTTTTTCAAACTTTTTTTTGTAATTCCTTCCAAAATACACATCCTCCATAAAATTTAGATAAATTGCATTAACATAGCCAAAGTTATTCACAAAAATACACGTGTCAGCACAAAAAAATGCTCTAATGTGAGGTAAGGGTTAAGGGAGCCAAATTTAAGACTTTTTAAGACCTTTTTAAGGCCAGTTTGACCAAATTTAAGCTAATTTTTTTTAATTTAAGCTATAATTTCCAGCTATTGCCTGGAACCGGTGCTAACCACGTCGCAAACGTGGGATTAGCCATCCAGTTACCATTAAACCTCCCCATGGCGCAAGCTCCCACTAGCTTAACCAGCTAATGTGCTCATCTAAAAATAGCCCCCTTTCACAACCAGCTGAATGTGTACGGTTCCGCTTACAGCAACATCGTACACAAAAAATGCTGAACACTAACTAGAAATTCACGAAAATGTCAGAAATAAACTAATCGTGTTTATTGGGTCTTTGGTCATTTAAGACCTTTGGAAACTGTATTTAAGGATTATTTGTCATTTTTAAGGATTTTCAAGGCCTTAAATTTGGAAAAGTTAATTTAAGACTTTTTAAGGACCCGCGGATACCCTGTCTGCTGGGTAACCCAAACCATGGCAATAACTGACTTTCTTCTGGGTCAAATCTGCACGATGGTGATGAAATCATAACTGTAGATTTGTCTAACCAATCAGAAATACTAAATAACTTCATTAGAAGCCTTTTTGACAGAACGGAAACATCTCGAACAAAAAGAATCATTTTACCTCCGAATAATGTCCTCTAATAAAATTACTAGCCCACAACAAGCTTTACGTCCACAATCCTGCATCATTTAGCGCTGAAAACCTACAAAAGCATCTCGCTTTCGTCCAAATCTCCGACAGCATCCTCATGTTAGCTTCTGACCCGAAGTGTAGCTTTTGATCAACAGCTTATCTGAACCAACAGGCCTTTGCTGATAGTTCAAGTGCCTCTCCCTACTGTCACCTGAAGCTCGCAAGAATTGTTGACTGACGCATCAAATAGCCAATGAAATTCGAAAAACGACTATTTCTCACGTTTCATCACAAACCCACGGTCTGCTTCCTCAAACTGATTGAGAACAATTGTGATTGGATGGTCCGTGCGTGTCAGGAACCCTTAATGGTGTGGTTACAATTGGTCACTCGGAGTTTAACATGCAGGCTGAACATGAAAATAGTCTCCTACACCTATCTGCTGCGATAGCTTCTGATGGAAAGACGGACAGATCTACGTCCCACTGTCACTTAACATTCATGGACTCGCCCAGCCTGACTGGTGATGGAGAAGGCTCTTGTCGGTTTAGCGTTCAGGAAACAGCGGTCAACGTCTCAGCTAGTAGAAGCTAACCATTAGCATTAGCAGCTCCACCACACTGCAGAACTTCTCCAGGTTTGTGTTATTTGTGGAGATTAAACATCAACGTTGCAGAGCAAACAGTCGGTGGTAGAGTTGTGTTGCTGTTAGCCAATCAGAGGAGAGATGTCCACATGTCAGTAAATAAGACTCCAAATGTTTTTTGTATGATGCTCAGCTTTTATGTGGCTCACTTCTAGTTCCTGAATCTGGTGCATCAGAGCTTTGTTTCTCCAGAGTACAACTTACCTGGCATTAATTTCTACTAGAGACCACTGCAAATGTATTGTTTAAACAAGTGTTCCACACCTTTAACATTATGTAATCTCTAGTAAGGATACATTTGATGTAGTTACTAATACTTGATCTAACATGTCTTCACCATAGATTTTATTTTGGTTCTTATGTTACTGTGATAAAAAATAAATAAAAGGAGGAGGGACAACGAGGTCCTGGAGAGTGAGCCTACAACACATTTTTAAGTGTTGTGATTGGACGAAAACAAGCGGACTTTCCTGATATTTGGACATCTCTTCTCTGATTGGCTAACAGCAACAGGAATCTACTACTGACTCTGTTTGCTCTGCAACGTTGATGTTTTATCTCCACAAATAACAAGCCTGGAGGAGTTCTGCTGTGTGGGGGAGTTGCTAATGCTAACAGTTAGCTTCTACTAGTCGACACGTTCTCTGCTGTTTCCTGGACGCTAAACCAACAACAGCCTTCCCCGTCGCGAGTCAAGACGGGTGAGTCCATGAATGTGACGTAGACCTGTCAGGATTTTTCAAATCCTGGCGTTTCACCATCTGTTTTCCATCAGAAGCTAATGCAGCAGATAGGTGTAGGAGACTATTCTCGTGTTCAGCCTGCATGAAAAACTCAGAGTGACTGATTAGAATCAGAAATAATTAGTAAAAAACAGTTTCTCAGTGAAGGACCTCTTTAAAAATTAAGTCATGGCTTCCAAACTCTGCACAGCTTCTTTTACCTTGTAGAAATGGAAACGTCCACTCTCCATTTGAACTCTTCCAGTGTGGGGAGGTGAGGATCCTTCTGAGAGGAAGCTGCTTCCAAGGCTGCTCGACTAAAAGTTCAGAGACGCAACGGCACAGATGTTGACAACAGTCATGAGGCATCCACAACTTGATGCTTTGCGGGGTTAAATGCTTGTTTCCACTAAATATGCAGCAGTTATGAAGTGAATCCGACGTACCGACTTCCAAAAACCACGCTGGAGAAATCTGTGATGAAGTCCTCGGGCATTCTGACGATGAAAGATCACAGAAACACGGATTTCAGAGGACGTGCGAGTGGCAGCTGTTAGCAGAAAGTTTAGTGAACACGAAGAGTGAGAAGTGTGAAGAAAATGAGTTGTTTACTTCAGCATTCGTAGATCGTCCTTAAAGGCCTAAACATAAACACACAAACAAAACGATTAAAATGTGCATTCAGAGGAAAACGCCCGTAGACAGCCAGCTGGGCACACCTTCAATCATCTACTGCATCATGGTGTCATCGGCTGCTTGCTCTGATTCAGGATGAATTATGTACAAAATATTCTGCGTTATAACACAGTCAGTGCTTCTAGAGGAGGTATAACAGTTTCTGCATCCTGCTGCTTTAACACAGTTGTTAAATGTTGCTACTGCACAATGTCACTGATCTAAAATACACACCAGCTCATTAAAACCCAGCCACAAAACAAGTGTCTCAGTACGTTCCTGTTTAAAGCTCATCGTGCTTTAACAGGAGCTCACCTCCTGTTTTAGTGACGATGGTGGGATGCGGATGGCTTCCGAGAGCAATCTGTGCATCCCTGCTATGATGTGACTGAGCCGCTCCTGCGGGATGACACTGCCTTCTGCCACCGACCTCATGACCTCCCTGCAGTCTTTCCCCTCCAGAGCGCTGACCACAGCTGAACACAAAAACACACAAAAGTCCTTATCCGGTCCAGATTCAGCTGCTGGTCTTTCACCCTAGAAACAGAAATTGCTGCAAGAAAAAGAAAACCTTTTGGACAACTAATTGGAATAATTAACAGGACTCGATGCACTGTTTAATAATAGGTTCAATTGGAGTGTTTGCTTTGTAAATTGATTGCTCTTGTTGTGAACTTGACCTATAAACTGAACTGAATTTGCCGGGAGCTGGTGCCCGACTCCAGCAGTCGCTGGACAACGAGTGGGGTCACTCTGGACAGGATTCCAGTCCATCATATGGACACAAATACAAAGAAGACCACACGCAGAGACAGTTTGCACATTTTCTTGTTCATACACATCCTTGAGACACCTTCTTGTCTGATGACCCTTTCCACTAATCCTTCTAGTCATTTCTCTGGCATCTTTGGCCAATTGGTTAAGTCTGAAGATGTTTTCCCGAGATCTGATGATGTCCTATGATGGCCACCGTAGTTATGATTTTCTGTGCCTTACAGTAAATACGTCACCAGACAGAAAACCAGAAGAAAAAATACACCACCATTTTTTTTCTCACTGAACTCTTCAACATAAATATTTTCGGTTAAGTTATCTCTGAAACCTTTTGAATTACCTTTCAGTAATTTTCGGAACAGCTCATGGTCGACATCCTTCAGGTTTCTCGACATTGACTCGATTTCTGGTGGGATTCTTCCACCCAAAAAGCTCGGGTCTTTTGCGTGGCTCGAAGACATGTCTAACTGTGCACGATTGTGAAAAACCAGCGCAATCAAAAAACCATTTATCCGCTCAAATTGTAAATAAACGCTCTCTTTTAGGCAGGTTTATTTTTCCTGTTTGGTGACAGCAGCAGCTTCCGTCTGGCTGCGGCCACCGTGGTGGAGCTCCGCAGTAACCGGATACACGTGACCTCCACAGCAGCCGGAAGCACGTGACGATGCTCTCGGACGGATCGAGTATTATTGGCATCTGCCAATAATATCATATACGGGTCTGCATCTTCTTTCCTAGTCCTTTAATACGTAACTGCTACCTGACAGCGTCTGCACGTCAATCACGTGACCAAGCAAATCAAGTAGTATCAAAATCAAAACATTAACCTTATGGCGTTCAAATAATCATTGCCGTTGCCTCCATTAGCAAATCTTGATTTCTCTAAAGCTGAACCTCATTATCGCGAGACTACAGAGAGCGAGAAGAGAAGAGACTGGCTGCGGCCACGCTCATCTTCTTTCCTAGTCCTTTAATACGTCACTGTCAATCACGTGACCAAGCCTAAGCGTCGGGTCTGCTTTAATACGTCACTGCTTTACCTTTTGGCTCATTTCAGCCTTGTGGTTGGTCGGCGTTGCACCTCGGATACCGGCTGGGGAAAAAACTTTTCAAAGGAGTTTCGTGTTTTTCTGGATTATTTCACTTCTGATAACTAGCAGTTTAACCTCAGGTGAGTTTTTTAAAAGCAGAAATTCAGCTTTTTTCTAAAGAAACTCAAAAGTTCTTTGTGTCTGAGGAGCCCAGTAACCTGAGACTTGTGACTGAATTCATTTTATCCACTGTCAGCCATTCAGTTAAACAGCCAATCCAGGAATCCAGAATGAACCAATACACTAGAATTCAAGCCTTAAACGAGAACATCAGTAGGGAGCGTGAAGGATTTGAGGAAACCCCGTTTCACCAAGTCATATCTGAGCCCAGTACTCAGAGCCTTGACACTGAATTCATGTTTCCCTCTGTCAGTGATGCAGTTAAACAGCAAATCCAAGGAGCCAGGATGAAGGACAATTCTATTATTCAAGGATTAAAGTTTAATCTCACAGCTCTGATTCAAGGGCTGGAAGAACA